AGCTCACTCTCATGATACAACTACAAGTCAAGAGCTTAGCAGCAGAGGAAACAAGCAGATTGCAATGCCTGTTGATTTTATTGTATTTGTAACAATCTCCAACAGAAACTGGGCAATTTAGATTATTGCTTTATAGTCGGAGTAATAATAGGTGGTTGTTCATTTTTTGATTATACTATTAAAAGAAGTAGGATAACAACAAAAAACTCATTCTTCATTGCCTATTGTGAGATTATGCACACGACACAATCCTTAAAAAATAATTTTCACATGAATAATAATAAAGCAATCTGATAGGATGATAAAGACCTTTGCATACAACAGGCCTTCAGCTCTTTTCCAGAGCCTAAAATAAGTTACTTCTTTGGAGACGTGCAAAATTTCAGCCCACAGCGATCACTGTGGTATCCTTCCTATCCTGCCTTTAACAGCATGCAGCACTGAATCCTTTTATTTCTATTATTACTTTTGTCCAGCAGTCTGGAAGTCTTAAATCTCAACTCTCAGTCACACATAAGCATGACAGCAATGTGACAGAGCAGGTGTACATCTCTCCAGCCTTGCAAACTGAGCTGCTGCCTGTCATGTCCATCCCATTTCAAGTGAACTTTGACAGCGTTCATTTGTGGGTAAAGAGAAATCTGCTTTGTTTGGGGTCAAGGGGAGGAAGGCTGAGGAGGATGAGAACAGCTGCTCATTCTAGAAAACGCCTCCGGGAAATCCACCTGCTACAGGGAAGAGGATCAGTTTGCTCAGGTGTACGTGGGGGTAACACAAGCCAAGGAGCACTCTGAAGGTCCAGACCTTCAGATGCTTTGGGAAAAGCTTCCAAAAGGGTCAAAAAGAAGGCAGGGGAACAAAAGCCCTGTCCATAGCAGAGGCCTTGCAAGGGATGAAAAAGACTTTGCTTTTGCTGTTGTTGCTGATGGTTTTATTTTATTACCTGGTACTGTTGCTTTCTATCTTGGCTAATTCTCTGATTTTGTGTAACATGTTCAGTTTTATGGAACAGATGGATTTACAGGCTTTGCTGTAGCTTAGAAGAGAGGATAGCTTTTGGGGGGCTTCCACACTCCTCCAGGTTGTGTCATATATGCAAATTGTACGCTATTTTCCATTCAAGTCAAAGGCAACAGTAAAGAAAGCATCCACTATTCAAATCTGCTATCATCTCAAGTATTTCACATGGTTTAAAATTTTTGTGAGCTATGATCCAAAGCAGTCTGAGCAAAACACTAGACAGTACCGTGCCTGTGCAGTTAGGATACAGCAGATTAACATCATCACTGAGGAACTGCAAGGGCTCATGACTTTTTCCCCTTTTATGATTTCTACAGCTTATCAACAAGATGACATTGTACCAGGGCAGTATTCTGGAAGATTACTTTTCATCTTGCAGATCACTGAAGTATGCACTCTTTGACTCTACACCTGTCATCATGGCCACATCACACACACAATATACTCCAAGAAATGAGATAGCTAAAATAAAAAAAAAAAAGCCCCCTCAAAAAAAAGAAACCACCAAAACAACACCACCACCTCTCCAATTTATGAGATCACTGGTCTAAGAAATCTGTCTATAATGCAACTACCACTACAGATGAAGAGGCCATGTCAGGAAACTCAAAAAGAGAATGAGATGCAGCAAGGTCAGTTTGAAAAAGTAGTCTGTATCAATTCCAGCAATCACTACAGGACAGGAATCATTCCAGATCATGAAACAGGAACTCAAATGCTTTGTGTCCTGTTAAACATAAATTATGAATGCTTTCTGCATGCAGTGAAAAGGGATTACTAAAAGGGAAAATAAAAACAACAAAAAAAAAAAGCAGGGCTTAACCGGACTATTTTTATAAGGAAGGTGAGGTTGTGGCATCTGTTTAAACACAAATATACTGTCTTCAGGCTAGCAAAAAAACTCTGCATTGATACCAGTTTGTCATTCGCCTTAGACAGCCTCTTGCAGGCACTTGCAGGGAGAGAGACAACAAGGGAAAGCACCTGAAAGCATCAGATATTCAGTCTCTGATTTCAAAGCCTTGGAAGCCCCATTGGATTGTTCAGTACGACCTTAAATGGAACTTTGAGTTTTACGTGCACGTCCTTCCACGCAGGGGACTGGAGGGGTTTGACTGCCTAGTGCTAGCTGATAGCAAACGTACTCATCGAACATCACACAGTTAAACCTTCTCCCCTCGTTTAGGTACAGGAATGCATCACTCTCAAACAACCAGACACGTGCTCAGTATCTGCTTCCCCCAAGAAAGCAACATGCCAAAGTTCTGAGGTGGAAGCTGCATGCTGGCCACTCTTAGAAATCAAAACAGGGAGAATCAAAACAAGTTCTTCAGCTCAGACCAAAGGTCTTCATTCTCCACTGTTCAAAGGCAGCTGTGAGCCTCTACTGCACTTTCACTGGCAATTTATAGGGATCAGATAACGTGTGTGTTGGGTAGATGTGGATGGTCAGATTTACCACCACTGACTGCTACAACAACCACAGCAAACACCCCGTACCTTTAGTCTGTAGAAGAACATAATGGATAGAAATATTTCCAGGCACCTAGTTTCTGCATCTCTGGCATTTGCTCATCTGTAGCATAATATGGCTCCCAGGATACTTCTGACATTTTCATTTACTGTGACTATCAGGCAGGACTTTCCACCTACAGTGGCACTGAGAATTTAAAACAGAACTGCCAGAGGCATATTTTAAATTGTTAATTGCTTTAACTGTTAATACTGCTTAATTATAAAGATTTACAAAACATTTACCATTTAACTTTCCTGGAGAGGAATGGAGAGCACCTTACCTAATGGCTCTTTTATTCCACCCCAATTGGTCAACTCAGTTTAAATATTCATTCTAATTTTCAAGTCAGTGAAGAGTTTTCCTTGCAGAATGATAGTACAGATAACCTTTGTGCCCAAAGGTGTTATATAAGCAGACATGCTGTGCTCTATAGATATGTTCTGCCAATTACACATATTTCATTTTTTAATCCCCTTCTCTGCTGTAAAATTGTACTCTTTGTCTTACCACATACACAAAGGATCAGTTTGTAAAGCACAAGAAGTCTGATGCGTATTTTAAAAGCAGGGAGTCATGTTATTTACAAACACACTTCCACTGACCTGTAATTAAAATGAGATCCTTGGTGGAGTTCACTTTCCATTTAGGCATTCGGAAAATCAGGCAGCCAGATTTTCTAAAGCTCTGCTCTGAGCATTTAGTAACCATCACCACTAACAGGAGTTCCTGAACCTTTCAAGCACTTGTGAAACCTGGCAGCTTACTTCTGGGGCTTACATTTGGGTTTCTCATACGAAAAGAACCCAACCCCAGACCTCAAAATCTTACTTCAAAGAATTACATGTGTCAGATTTCACTTAACAGTTTTCTGGCTAATAAAAAGACTGATTTTTTTCCTCCTAGAGGTCTGTATTGGGTTTGTATAGTCAAATTTCAGGGGGCTGGGTGAGAGTTACATGGTTTGCTTCTTTGAGAAGTTGCTTGAAGCTTCCCTATGTCTGACACAGGCAATGCCAGCTGGCTCCAGGATGAACCTGCCACTGGCCAAGGCCAAGTCCATCAACAACTGTGGTAGCACCCCTAAGATGGGGAAAAAGTTGCTGCTACGTGAGAGAAACAGCTCTGCAGACACAGAGGTCAGCAAAGGAGGGGTAGGAGGTGGTCCAGGCACCAGAGCAGAGGTTCAGATTCCCCTGCAGCCTATGGTGAAGACAACAGTGAAGCAGCCTGCCCCCCGCAGCTCAAGAAGGTCCACAGTGGAGCAGATACCCACCTGCAACCAGTGGAGGAGTCTGTGACCCTATGGAGAGCCCACACTGGGCCATGCTGTGGCCCCGAGGAGAAAGGAACCCACTCTGGAGCAGGTGTGCTGGCAGGACTTGTGACCCTGGGGAGGAACCCCATGCTGGAGCAAGGGAAAAGCATGAGGGGTCCTCACTGAGGAAGAAGGAGCAGTAGAAACAAGGTGTGATCGACTGAACACAACTTCCATTTCCCTGTCCCCCTGCACTGCTTATGGGGAGGAGGTAGACACAACTGGGAGTAAGTTCAGTTCAGGAAGAAGGGAGGGGTGGGAGGTATTTTTAAGATTTGTTATTATTTCTCATTAACCTACTCCGATTTGATTGGTAATAAATTAGTTCTTCCCCAAGTTGAGTCTGTTTTACTTTTGATGGTAATTGCTGAGGGATCTCTCCCTGTCCTTATCCCGACCAACAAGCCTTTCATTGTATTTTCTCCCCTGTCCAACTTGAGGAGCGGAGTGATAGAGCAGCTTTAGTGGTCACCTGGCATTCAGCCAGGGTCAGCCCACCACAAGCTCATCCATCCCCACAGCAGAGCAGCTGTGCCTGATGCTATTCCCGCAGTTCCCAGCTGCAGCCTGGCTGTGCAGCGTGGTGCTCTACACTGCTGGGTGGGTTACACAGTGTGCCAGGCTAAAGCAACACTCTTGGTTGTGGTTCCTTTTGGTGCAGAGTCACTGAGCCTATGGGAGCCTCAGTCTTTCAGCAGAGCACAGACATATCCACTGCAGTGCATGAAATCACAGCCCAACATGACGGTGAGTAAAATCCCACCCTGGAGTTGTGTCTAAAGCAGGACATGCAGCCCCTTCACTGAGCAGTATTCACAGAAAGGAAATTCATTTCCATGCAGAAGCCAGGAGAGACAATCCCAGTGACACACAGCCAATAGAGCAGACTTAGGCATGGAGGAAGACAATCTGCCTTAACGTAGCAGCTAAACCCAGTAACAGAAATCTTTATGTGTCAGAGTTCTTTGTTTCAGTACTTAACTAGTCATAATGTAGCCTGGGAATTCAAAGACCTGAGGTGGAAGCAGGGAGAGAGAAATCAACATCCTGGAAAAAACCCACACGATTAGGAAAAGACAGACAAAATCCTTGCTATTTTCTCTTCTCTCTTCCCTTCCCACAGGCAAATTTACACCACCTCTCACTCACCATGGGCTATCGGTGTTAAGAGCATTGTGAAGAAGAGCAGCTGTGATGACCACATGACTGTGAAGGAGAGCTTGAAAGTATCCCAGCAAACAAGGGTTCAAACAAAAAGGTGAGAGTCCTCCTGTACTTGCTTCCAACACTTCAACTGTTGGCCTTCAATTCACATCCAAAAATGGGAAAAAAACAATCAAAAATAATAGTAATAAAAAAATCCCACAGCCAGTATCCAGAGTCTGAGACCTACAAATGAGAAAGGAAAAAAAATGCAGTTAGTAAAATAACAAGATAGGTGTTTTCAATCAAGTCTTGCTGTGTTTCTTTGCTGCCAGCAGCTGTAAAGGCAAATGTGTCTTCCCCCCTTCCTGGCCCTTCAGATACACGCACATTCCTACATAAAATACGAATTAAAACTTATCCCTGTGCAGAGAGACAGTTTATGCATCTGCTTCCTCTCTCAAACAGTTTTGAACAACAATGCCCACAGATCTAGACAGTCCACAGGCTTTGAAAGCTGACTAGAAAAAACAATTCCATACACATACATGGGACTTTTAATACAGGGGAGGGGGGAGCAAAGAATAAATGCGAGCTCCTGGAAGAGCACAAAGTCACCAAACTGCCAACAAGACAGGTTGCTTCGTCACTCAGTCTAGGCCATTCCTGTGAGCACACATGGGAAGCACAGTGCTTTAGAAGAGAATCCAACTCAGAGCTGTGACAGAGCTGCAGTCCCTGGCCTGCCTCCCCTTTCCCTCGAAACAGAAACCTTTTTTCAATATATGAAACACAGGCACATTAACTCAGCTAGTCCCAATGGAGGGAGTAAGACACCCAAACAACAATCTTAGGCTTTGGCTTTCTCTTTAACCTCCCACACAGTATGTAATGCAGGTGGACACGCTGGCCAAGAATTATCTATGCAAACATCTGCTAAATGTCCTGAACGAGTCAGGCAGAAGCTGAGCCGAGCACCTCCCCAGGTACCTGGGCACTGCACTATTCTGCTAAGACCTTTCACTCTTTTTTGAATTTCTCTCATGCCTCTGCTGCAGAGGCTGACAACAAGATACCAGGCAGTGGGACTAGTAATACGGTTTGGGAGCATTTCCACTGATATGGCTCTTTTCATTTGAAGCATCCTGTGTGGCTTTTAATCTCTGAATCTGGACCAGGCTTTAAACCCGAATAGAGCCTAAAGTCACCCTTATTCGCTAACAAGCCACTTTCTAGTCACTGGCAGTGACTCGCTCCTAGTCAAGCTCTGCAGTTATTTATTGTGGAATTAAAAATAATGGTCTCGTCCATCCCACACGCTTACAGGAAAGCACAGGGAAATATGAATCCATGCTTGAATAAAAACATTCACTCATTTAACTAGAAAATGTATTCCAGCTTTCCATCATTTTAATCTCTCAAGAAGGGTCTAGATGGCCACAGTGACTCAAACTTGGCAGGAAAAAAACAACCATACAGACTTAAACTACGGCATCAGCTTGAGACTTAGCTCCCCACTGACTTTGAAATGATGAGGAAGTATGAGGAATTGAAAAGTACTTTACGTATCTGTTTTGAACTCCTTAGACTGCAGTCTTCACAGCACTGGTCTAATTAAAAGTCTCTCAAAAAATCTCTGATCAACAGAAGTTATTCTTCTCTGAGCAAAGAAGCTGTTTTTGCCAACTTCTGTTCTTGCCCAAAACCCAGTCTGAGCCAAAAACAGTATGAAAAAACTGTGCTGCATGCCATTGTGATGTGGGTATATTTCTGGAAGTCTGGCATGACAAAGTGGCCTTTGTTTTGCTTCCTATCTTTACTGATCAACTAAATCAAACCCCACATTGTTTAGAACTAAAGTCTATAAAGAAGCTGTTTTGAGGGTTTTTTTAATAAATATATCTTTCAGTGCCAAGATTTTATGCTCCCACTCTACTCTCCTCCCCAGTCTGTCCCTGCAATTTGTTCACTCAAATGTATCATTTAGTTTCTGTAGCTTTTTCTCATCTCTGTAACCGGGGTGACTAAAAAGCCCAAGGTCAATCTGCAGTCAAGTGGCTTCTTTATAGACATCCTTGAAATTAAGACTTTGCTGGAGCTGGGACTAATCAAAATGGTCACTGATAATATTTAAAGTCTGTTATTCAAATGGGGACAAGCCTCATGAATATTTTAAACTGTGCATTTTAAACAGTGATCAAGTTTTCCATTTATATTTTAGTAGGCTACCAGCACACAAGCTACACCACTGACCATTATTTATGCATACTTTTTCTACAGTACCCTCTGAAAAGTTTTAAGAGTAAGAAGCTTTTTGTTCTACAAAATTTGAAAAGGCATACAGAGATGAGCAAAAGCTATCCAAGCTCAGGTACACTTCCCTACAGCAAAAGCTCAGTCAGGCAGTGATGGAGTAAAGGTTTGTTTTCTGATTTTAATTTGTTTAAGCTGAATCAGTTCTGAATAATCTAAGTCTGTTAGAAAGAGATAACATTATGGTGCAGTAAAAGGGGTTTGGGTGTAAACTGACAAAGTCACAAATTAATTAGGCTCCCTATCCCAGAGAAGGGATAATTGTCAACAAAATATTTACACAGTGGCCTTTAAAATTGTTTTTATTGTCTCTATATACCTTCATAATAGGATTCATGGATTTTTTTTTTCTATCATCTCATGGGCTGGGGCTGAATGAGAAAGCGGATTCACTTGCCCTCTGCAAAGTCCAAGCAAAGTCTAATTTTTGGGAACTAATGTCTTGGAACCACCGGAACTACAAATAAACATTTTATCCTACTGGAAAGTACATTATTGAGTCACAAAGCTCCTGTGCAAAAGAGACAAAAGGACTTGCTCAGCATTATGCACCATTTACTCCAGTCATAAATCTGGTCCAGTATTCTCTGTCCTACCATCCTTCCTGCCAGAGGAGAATACGCCAGAGATGTGGCCTGCCAGGTGGTATCTGCACACCCTGGCTGGCACAACCTTGCCCTTAAGCCTGCTTCTACAAAGAGTTCAATCCCTTAGGTTTAAGCTCATGCACATATATTAACAAATACACAATGTGTCTGGAGACATGCCAATTGTGTTTAACAACACAGGGCACCACTATATTAACCAAATACATTGTAACGCTACAAAATTCTGGGTGGGTTTGTATCTCATGTAATCAAATAATCATAGTGTGTTTGTGAAACGGATATCTGCAGGGGAACAGCTAGATAGGAAATGAGTGAAACAACCCTTTTCCTTAGTGGTCACTCAGCCCCTCTCAAGCAGCAGTATAAGATGCAGAAAGAGGCTCACAAAACAAAATTCACTTCATCTTTGGATTACCTCCAGGTAAAGTGCAGCCAAAGAGAGAAACTAGAGCACATATCTGTGAACTGTTCAGTGCAGAGTGTTACATTTATTGATGCAAGAAAGGCATACACTATCACAGTGAAAAATTTAAGGGCTACACTTGACCTAAGGGGTTTGGAGTTTAACCACAAAGACGATGCAGCCTGCATTGATTTAAAAGAAAGTTCTTCTGCTCACTGACCTTTATACCCATAAGGCTGCCCCTGACACCTTTGCAGTCTGATCTCTTGCATCACCCAAACCAGAATTGCATGTTGGCAGTTCCCAAAAATCCTACTCAAAGTGTTACTGACAGAACAGGAGAAAGCCAAAGGAAACTAAGGCCTCGTGGTGAAGAGATGAGCAGTGAAGTATTCATCAAGGCGTTGCTCATAAAAGAGCATTATAGATACACTGACAAACTCAACATCTACCCAAGTCTGTTCTTCAGCAGCTGATGTCAAGCAGCACATGGAGCATTTTCTGAGCTCATCTGTCGAGAGTCTACAGGGAGGGTGAAAAAGAAAATTAAACCAGTTCATGTGGTGAGTGAACAGATAGGCTGAATTCAAAGTAGAATTCAGTACAGCGCAAGCCAAGCAGGTCAGAAATCCATTCAATTGCTGTCTTCTTCCAAACACGAGCATTTACACCTGCACAAAGCTGGACACAACCCTCCTCACATCGCAAAAGCTACCAGCCTTCCTCAGCTAACCAGCATTTTCTAGGCAGTTGGGGTACAGGAGGGCCGAGAGTGTTTTACAAGGGGGCTCATTAGCAAAAGCCTGATAGAAATGCCCTGTTTTTCTTATCCAGTTTTACTTGCAGTCATTTTCTTCCTACCCCTGAAAACACGCATAGTAAAACTAGCTTCAACAAATCAGTGATGCAAGAACTACTTTATATTTCTTAATACAAAAGATTCCTGCACTTATCTTCTCCTTTGGCAGAAGTCACCTACCAAATAGAAAATAAATGTGATGTTTCAAACAAATACTGATTAAGTTCACTATTCGCAACAGGAAAAGTTTGGAAGTAATTAAACTCTTTGAAGCTGACGGACCAAGCTGGAATCATGGATGTAATCCCCCATTCTCAGCATCTGCCACTTGAGACAATTTATTCCAGCCAACATTTTCAGAATTTAACCAAGAGAGGGAAGAAAAATAACCCCAGTAAGAAAAACTATAACATTCAATCTCTGTAAAATTAAACTAACTGCAATTTAATGTTAGAAAACTTCTTTAACTAAGAGAATGAACTGTATTTCCACTCTCATTATGAATGTCTAAACAAAAGAATTACTGCAATACATTTGGCCATAAGTTGTTTGCAAAACACATTTTAATTGTTTATTTGTACTTAAAAAAAGACTTCATTAAAAAAGGTAAGTTTTGCTCCTCCAACCTCCTTCCACCTTTACTCTATCAGGTACTCAGGGTTTGGCTCCCTGGTCACTTTGCGATGGCAGCAACACAACCTGCCACGTTAAAAGGTCACACAGAGGTTACTGACTGTATAACACAAGGGGAGCAGGGCAGGAGCAGGCTGCAATCCTGGCATTTCAATGGAACCACATGCACTTGCACTCATAGCCACTCACTGAAGTTACTGCTACAGGGACATGGTTATTTATGGACAGATTTTTTCTGTGAGCATTTTCAAGAAGCCCAGAATGTGTTTCTGAGACACAAACTGAATTGTCTGTAGACTTTCATTCGTGTCTGCATTTAGCCCAGGAGAATATTCATACTATACCACAAGTACTTATAAACTCAGAGTTCTCAGCAAGTTCAGAAAAACAAGCTTTTTTTCCCTCAAAACATGAAGCAGCAGCCACAACTTTTGGTTCTTTATTTCAGGTTTTAAGTTTGCCAGATGTAAGGAGGCTTTGTGAGAGACCC